CCTCAGGTAAGTTGAAGTAGACGACCTCCTAACCACCATTTCAATTTTTTGGAAAGTTCAAGAAACCTGCAACTTGATAATCGGGTTTTTCCGCAATACGTTAAAACGTAATAAAGATATGGAAAATTTACAGATATAAATCAACAACATTTCTGAATACACTAAAATAAAAATGCATATAGCAGTTATTAAAGTATATTTCACTGCCTATCCTAAGTTCCCACCCATAAAACCCTATATCCACCGTTTTCGTAGGCCAAAATGCTGGGAATAGGGATTAATGAGGTGCACTACATAAACTACTGTTGCCGAAAATTGTCATACGGTTGGCAATTTGCCTTCTGAAGTAGGCAAAGGGTATTTTCATGCAATTAAGGTAAATAAAAAAGAAACTTACGAAATTAAACGCAAATTTGGTTCGGGGTGACTGGTAAAATATCTTAAATTTGGTAAAGAATGAGTCCAGGTTAATTGGCTTTGGCGCCATGGGCTGCTGGTCTTTCGCCAGTAACTGCTCCGGAACAGATGCCCGCATTTCATCCAGTTTCACATACAAGGGTGTGGTCACCTGGAATTTCTCAGAAAAGAGCAGAAAGGGACAGATGAGAACAAGGAGTAAGTGCCAGACGGAGAAGTTCACACCATTTTCCCACGTCAGTGAGACCATGTTCTGAAAGGGAGTCGAGGAGACAAAGTTCAGGGAGTCGGAGTTGGCTGCGGCTACCGGGGTGCTCTCCACCTCCCAGGAGGGTTTGTACTCCAAAAGCATCGCGGTCGTCACACCCTAGGCAGATTAAAGACATACTAAAATTACTGCCTCCACCTGAATAACTTCAAGCGATGGTAGTAAACCGAATAATCGAGTAAGTATAATACTGCGAGAGTTCGAATATACTTCCTGACAAAAAAAGTGAAATGCTAGTGACTCAGGCATGTGCGGCCTAATGTGAAGGGTCCAGACAGGAATGCCATCGAAGGGTGAGATTCACTGATGAACGCTCATCGATCCCTAACGAAACTCACTCGTCCTAGTAGCCTTGGGGCTCACTCTCGAGCCCCGCAGGCAGCCGCGCAAGTGAACATTGACGACAAAGATAATGAAGACTGGAATGGCCATTTCTGGTTCGTAAGCCATCATCAGCCAGCCATAACGATCGGTGAGCGTTTATTGACGAATGTCAATATTCCCTATCTAAACCGGCAAGAAAACGAGGCCGTGGCTCGATGGTTAGAGTGTTCGACCTCTTGTCAACAAGGCTGTGTGTCCCGCTTTTCTTTTCACCATTGCGTCTTCGGGGTATTCAGAAGACAACTTACACTGTCCAGGTCTCTGGAAGATACAGTTCTGCGAATCCTGCAAACAAATTTCAGGACGAAATTTAACTTTGTAGTTTAGCGTATATCTGGACAGGTTAC